ATTGTCTGGTGCAATGGTCCCAAGCATTTCTTTCACCAGTCTCTCGAAGGACCACTCTCTCCTCCCCAGTCCAGCCCCGAGGTTGATGGTACTACTCCCGGTTTTGACTACATCCCATCTTTCTCCCCTGTAGTCTCTGGTGAATTCAGACCTCCAGAAAGGTACCCCCGTTGGATTAACAGTGCAACTCACAGACTGTACCATCAGAGCTCCCTTAGAAGATACAGTGGGGGGAAAAAGAAGAAGATACAGTGGGGCTTTGCAGATGTGGTGGATGCAACTTGTCATGAAACCAGATAGGACACAGGCTTAGATGGCACTTGGAAAATCCTCAGCACTTTGTATTTTGATCCTTCGTTTGGCCTGACTCAACTTTACCACATCCAACTTAGTGACAACTCCTGCTGCCTTTTAATGTAATAATAAATTTGCTCTGGCTTTCAAATGATTGAATCAACTTCTAACAAATTCTTTGTCCTTCATTTTCTACCCAGGCCGCTTTTAACTCACTGGGAAAAAAGGCTTTGAGGCTTTTCTTGCCCTCAGTAAGGCATTAGGAACCCTATGCACCTGTTCTGATGTATCTCTAAAATCTTAATGACACCATTAGGGACAGATCTCACTTGTACATGGGACTGTCTGTAGTATCCCACACCCCCTTCCCCCAGCTCTTCCACCCTCTAGCCAGCCTTTCCCCCTGAAAGCAAAATCAAAAGGATCTAAGGTCCAGGTGATGGCAAGTCTAAGGGGAATCAGGGTTCTCTGCTCAGGTGGGCACCTGACCTGAGGTTCAGCATCAGTTCAGAGTAGGGTCCTGGCTCAGCAGGATTGATCATTTTGCCTTCCTTCACACACATGCATTTGGGAAGCACGCTCACACACAGCAGTGCCTGGATTATGATTGCGCTGGAGAGCTGAGCCTTTTTGTTGAAATACCCAGAGGAATGGAAGCATGATTTGATGCCAACTTCACAAGCTTTTTCCACATCCTCAAGTGTGCATTAAGCAGATTAGCAATTTATTGTGTATAACCTTCATCCCTCCTGTTGCTAGCCCAGAAGGTCTGAGGTAACAATTGTATGACTATCCAGCTTTGTTTTAATATGTGTTAGACCTGGGGATATGTATTATACCCCAGCTGTCCATCTTGTAAACTCTCTGGGCACGTTATTATGTTAACAGATTTAATCAACAACAAATTTATCCTTATCTTGGAGCTGGCAAAGAAATTAGCACAGGCCCCTTCCCATACCACTCTTCCCACACAGCATACATCAACCCTAGGATTCTTATTTCCAAGACCTATGACCGCTATTGTAGGGAGACTAGAGAGAAGGCACTGAAGATACCCAGAGACTTCTCTGCTTAAGACCCTTTCATGTGTGGGGCCCGCCTGGCTTTGTGCCTCACTGGGAATCAGGAGGCAGCCCATTTCTTTTAGTTGTATGCCATGCCTAACCCGCTGCTGTCAACCCAGTAACACGTAGCAGCCTTCTATCAGGCAGAGTAAAACTGCTCCATAGGATTTCCTAGGGGAGTTTGTAAATCTTGGGAAAGCAGATAGCTGATGAGTGGCTGATGGATTTGAACTGCTAACCTTTCAGTTAGCAGCCCCATGTTTAATTGGAAATGTCATAACTTTTGTATGCCATGCGTGCTCTCAAAACTTCAGGACTCTGTAGAAGCTTTCTAATTTATTGGCAAAGGAAGAGTCTTCCTGTCATTTCCGTTGTCTTCTGATGTCTTCCTGTCATTTCCGTTGTCTTCCCCTGTTTTTCCACCTTTCACAGGCCAGTACTATCAGTTCTGAAGTTTTCCCCCCTCACCCCTACCAAAATGAATGTCAGCACCACAGGATGGTGGGAATCTTATTATCCACAACTGTACTGCCAGCCCCCAAACCATTGTCTGGCACATGGCAGACAGTACGCATTTGTTGAATGAATACGTGTTTTGTCTGCCTTCTTATTTCTAGTCCTCTCTGTAACATATTCCCCTTCAGCCATCACAAACCTTGTCATTCCACCCCGTGTCACCTTGTCACACCCTGGAATACAGGTCACCTTCAGGTCTCACATAACCTATAGTTCCACCACTGTGTAGCCCAGAAGTCAGCTGGCCTCTCCCAGCCCCAAATAAGCTCCAAATAAGCTGTGGTGGCCAAAGTCCTCCTCAGTTTCACGACACGGGGAACAGGGGGGATTTTTAACATTCTGATGAGCACTTTCCCTACAAGCAGCTATCTTCTTTGAACTGTTCACTCTTGTGTTGTATGAAATCCAGCCCCATCCACAGTTTCTGTGTGTATAGTCAAATTGTACATACATAATGTCAATAAATCAGACACAAGTGTCCTGATATGCTGGATACACTACAATGATCTTATCCTGTGACCTTTAGCCCTGGTACATCATGGGAATGGCTGACGTCGTCTGTGGTTGCTGGATTAGGCTGGGCTCCCAGTTCTGGAGAACTGCCATTCATTGTATACATCAGTTCTTTACACTAGAATTTCCTGGTTGGACAGAGCTAAGCTCCTCGAAACACAGAATTCCAAAGTGTTTATTCTTCCATGATTTAGGCTACAGCACTTGGTTGAGAAACCCAAAACTGCTGAGAGAGATCCTAGAAACTATTTGCTACTGACAAAGAATACAAAATTATCAAGTAAATAAAATTTCCACACACTGTAAATTTAAAAAAAAAAGTAATTTTTTTGAATAGTATTTCTGATGCAACAATCTGAATAGTAAAAGGAATGATAATGGAAGGGATTGAAGCATAAAAACTACAACTTCAAGGTTAAACCTGTGTTGTTATGTGCCACCAAGTCAGACCTGACTCAAAGCCATCCCTCAAGCTGGTTTTCAGAGACTATAAATCCCCCAGAGGAGATTGCTCATCTTTCTCCCACAAGGCACCTGGTGGATTTGAACCATGTATTTTTGGGCTGGCAGCACAAGCAAGAAAAGAATCTTCGGTCACATTTGGAGAATGCAAAGAAATGAAATTTTATTTTGAAAACCTATAAATAAAGAAGAATCAAGCATTTATTCTGCCTTACCTAAACAAACTGCACTTTAGGTTAAGCAAATAGTTCATTTGGGAATGTTCACTCTTTATGGAAGAATTCCAAGAAATATATGAAGGAGTGATAAAATTTTAATATTCCCATTTTGCAATCCTTGTTGATTTACTGAATCTGGGCAATGTTCATCATTGTCTGTTATCATTAAAAAGCAGAGATGTCTTTTGTCGTTCCTATAAATGTGCTATTAGATAAGGAAATTTTATTAAATTCAGGTTTGACTCCTTGTCTCCTGATGAAAATATACAACCTGAAGTTTTCTTCTTATGGAAAAATGAATCAAACCTGAATCAAACCAAATTTCTGTGTCTAACAGCAAATTCATAGAAGATACAAAGAAATTAGTTAAGCAGTGCTGTGAAGCAGCAACCAGTAAAGTTAACAACTACAGGAGAAACAGCTCAGTTTCCTCAACAAGTAAATGTCAAAGTTTAAACAGGGGAGGAAGAAGAGGGAGGACATCTGTAAATTACAAGATTTAAGAGACATGTCAACAAATTGCAATGAATGGGCATTATTTAGATGCTAATTCAAGTAAACCTTAAAAACTTTATGGAGATTTTGAATACTTTGTAAATAACTGATAATATTAATAACATAATGCTTTAAGTGTTATAATAGTTGTATAGTTATTATTTAAGTCAGATACAGATACTGAAATAGTAATGGATGAATGAAGAGAAAAAGAGTATCTGATGTACATTAAGAGTCTATGAAAAGATACATAAGAAATGTGTGATCAAGCATTGCTTCTCACTGTGGCATTTGGACAAGAACAATCTGGGAGGAGGGTAGAGAGAATAGTGCAACAATGAATGAATGGAAACCCAAAATCTCTGTAAATGTTTATGAAAATTAATAAAATATAATTATAGAAAAAAAAAAAGCATTGCTTCTAGGAAGGGGAGCTAGGTAACCTAGGGATCAAAATGGAATAAAGATAAAAGTTTTGGACTGGTAGTTTTTGTTTTATGCTAATTTTAACTTTTAGAAAAACTAAAAAATATTAATTTTAACCTCAAAATACTTAATTGGAGAAAATGGGCTTTACCAGGCAGTTGCCATCAAATCATTTCCAGCTTAGGGTCACTCACTCATTGTTGTAGCCCATGCACAGCTGACCCTCCATCTGATTTTTGGAAGACTATAAATTGCACTCAATTGCCCATCTTTCTCCCAAGAAGCCACTGGTGGACTTGAACCACCAGGGAAGCATGTTTTTGAGTTAGTAATGCAACTCACTGTGGATTTTGCCACCAGAGTTCCCTCTCTCAATGCAGCTCTGTATCAAAGGAGAACTGTATCCCATAGTCTTTTCAGTGGCAGAGTTTGGAGAACTCATTAGTCACACTTCACTTCCATAGTGCCTCTGGGTATACTTGAACTGTCAGCCCTTTGATTAGCAGCCAGGTATTAACTATTCACATGTACAGTCTGGAGAAGAATTGATCCAGGCTGGGTTTCTTAAGAACTCAGGACTCACTGTATGTCTTTCCAGGCAGAATCTCTGAGGATGAAGCACACAGACACCTGAGAACTGCAGGCTTTGAGTCACCTAAGTGCTGACTTTTCAAATTTTTATTGTTTTCTTTTGGAACGTTGGGATTCATAGGGCGAACACATTCTCAAATTTAAATTCAAAGCAGCACAACTCTGAAAGTCTGAACGACTTTTTTTAGACTTGCTGACAATGATTTAATCAGCAGATGTCACTGTGTGATACTTGGGTGCATCCTCCCATGTTTCCTCAGTTTTGGAAAGGCAGAGCGTGCTGCTGGCATTGTAGCATGGAAATATTTATGGTAATTCTGTATTTTGTTTAATGAAAATAGTTTTTCTTCTCCTTCCATTGCTTATTAAAAGTTTATCTTTGATTAAGCATTCTTTGCTTTTATTTTTTTTTCCTCCCCAGCATCATTGACAAAGAAGTTTCATTAATGGCAGAAATGGATAAAGTTAAAGAAGAAGCCAGTAAGTAGACATGTAGTCATTTCATTTCAAAAACTTCATTGCTCTAGCGCTGGGCCTGATTCATAAGGACCCTGTAAGACAGAGTGGAACTGCCCCCTGCTGTTTCCAGGGCCATAATGTTTATGGATACTGACCGCCACATCTTTCTCACATGGAATGGCTGGTGAGTTAGAACTGCTGGCCTTTGGGTTAACAACTGAATGCTTTACCACTGAACCAACAGGGCTTGTTACTTGATTGCTATTGTTGTTATTGTTATGTACCATCAAATTTGAGTCAACTCATAGTTGACCCTCCAGTGTGTTTTCAAGAAGCAGTACATTCATTGTACTGGAGGAGACTGACCTTCCTGCTGCCATGGAGCAATTGATGGATTCAAACCACAGGCCTTCAGGATTGCAGCACAGCTTCTTACCACTAGGCTGCCAGGGCTCCCTGTGTCACCTGGAGGCAGATATTTATTGTTTCTGCTGCTCAGAGGGAAATATTTGATAGTGGCTAGGAGCTTCCTAATTAGATCCAATCCATAAGTCAGACTTATCCACTTGGGGTTCTAGGTTGTTGTTGTAATGTGCCGTCAAGTTGCCTGCAATTCATAGCGAGTACATACATAGTACAACAGCCCTAAACCCTGCTCTATCCTATGTCAATCTCATTGTCTCTGACACACCTACCCCTATTACTCCAGTCACTGAATCGATCCATCTCATTGAAGATCTTCCTCTCTCACGCTGTCCCTCCACCCTCCCAAGCATGTGCCTTTCTCCAAGGACTGGTCCTTCCTTGCAGCATGTCCAAAGTATGTCAGACAAAGCTTCAGAATCCTTGCCTCCAAGGAACAGCTTGGTCTTACCTTCTCTGGGATGAACACATTTGTTCTTCTAGCAATCCATGGTATATTCAATACTCTTTTCCAGCACCACAGCTCAAAGGCATCAATTCTCCTTCTATCATCCCTAGTCATTGTCCATCTCTCTGATGCATAGCATATATAATAAGTAATTGCAAAGACTGTGACCTTGATCAAGCACACCTTAGTCTCCAGACTGACATTGTTGCTCTTCAGTACTTTGGAGATGTCTCTGACAGCAGACCTTTTCCAATGCAGTTCATCTTTTAATTTCCTGGCTGCTGGTACCAAGGGTTCTGGATGCTGAAACCCTGATATATGAGCTTGTTGATCCTAGCCAAGTAACTTAGTCCCTGGAAGCATCATGTGTTGTGTGGCCCACCTCCTAGTGTTGCCTGGCTAGCACAGTAAGCAGCCGTAAACAGCATTTGTCATGTAAACTTTTTTAAAGTTCAAAAAGACATAAAGGATTCTTTAGTGTTAATTGAGTTTTAAATTATATTGAGTTTTAAAACGAATTGCAAAGCTTCCTTAACTTACAGATTTTACTGTACTATTATACAGGGATACTCACTCATTCTTTTGTAGGTTCAGTCAACCCAAGTTTACTAAATTACCCTTAAGAATTAGTCCCATTTTAAAGCTTACTTAAATTCCTTTTACCTTTTTGAGCAATATTTAGAAATTTGATGACTCAAACGCATGTTCACAAACCTAATAAGCAAATACTTCTAAACTTTTAAACATCTCTTTAAAGACTTAGGAGATGTATTAAGTAATTCATATTTAGATGTACTAAATCAAGGTTTCTTAAAACATTCAATTCTATCTGCACCCTTAGTCACGTCCACAGACACTTACCCAGATTTCAAACCACAAAAGACAGTTTCCCATTTGGAATAGAAATCACAATCAGAAACATGGGGTGTGCTGCGGGGTAGGCTGGGGGAGGGGAGGGAAAGGGGGGTAGTAAATGTGGGGATGAAATCACCAGTCCTATTCTTTTACTGTGCCAAATATTCCTCTTTCACTCATGAATACATCTGAGTTATTTTTGGCCAATCTTTTCCTAAATCTAACCCGAAAATATTAGTACTCTGGTTGTGATTTGTTAATCTTTATGTGTGTTTCAAAACCTTTTGACTGTTTAAAGTTACTCACCAACTAGTTTTATCATCCAGAGAGGCGAAGTTCATGGGTTGGAAAATTTGAGCTGAGAAAAGATTAAGGTGCTTAACACCATTGTGCCTGAGCCACTGTAGACAGACTTGCTCAGCCTTCCTGTTGGATTCCACCTGCTCTGCCAGTGGGAACCCTAAGACTGTGTTTTTCAGTTGGACTTTCATTTTAGAATCTTCATTCCCTGGGTCTTTTAAAATTCTTTATTCTCACCCAGGTCTGATCTTCAGATTAGATAAAGGGCACTCTTCATTCCCAGCCAGGTCACAGCTAAATGTCTTTAACTCCAACTCCCTTTTTTAGCAGCATCAGCCGTCATCTTAGATTTTTTCCCTCTTCCTGTTTTTCTTACCTGACTCCAGGTTAAAACACATGGTCATTTTCTAGAAAATACCTATTGTTCTTCTTTCCCCACCCCTTGTTGTTTACCATCAAGTTGAATTCGACTGGCACAGGAGGAAGTTGCCCTTCATTCTCCAGCGGAGCATCTGGTGGATTCAAACCTCACACCTTCAGGAGTACAGTGCAGCTTCTTGCCACTAGGCCACCAGATCTTCCTAATACCTTTGTCCTTGCTGTGCAGTTTTAGAAATCATTTTAGTCAATATTTAGAATCTAAAATATGGCAAGTTTTATTCAGTACTATTAAATGTGGCCCAGAGTTCAATGTATTTACCCAGTACTTCAGATATTACATTATTTTATTCTTGTTAAATTGCTTAATTTTGTCAGTAAAAGTGGACTATAAACATGATTTGGTATTTTCCCTGTTTCTGGAGTAGAACTTTTTTTGTTTCATGTCCTAATCATAATATGCTAATAGTCAATACCAACGCAAATTGTTCAATAGCTACCAACATAGAAATCTCTTAGCACATTATTTTCTAAGTTTCATGAAAGGCCTCAGGTTTCACAAACTCATTCTTTCTTCAGAAAATTATATGAAGTGCCAACACCTGTGGACTTAGGAACATTTCAGGAGAGGGTGCCCGTTCTGAAACATTGGCTACATGCTTGCTTACGGGCAGAACAACCGCAGACACTTGGCCACGCAGTGGACAGACCCATGTGAGGCCTGCTTTCGTGGAGCTTCCAGACCAGTTGAAACAACTAGGTTGCTTGGCAGCATTCAACTGCTTTAAGGAATTGGCTCAATAGGGCTTGGTTTTTAATTGTCCTTGACCCAATTCACAGGAAAAGTCAGAGCTCAGGCCTTGGAAACAGACAGAGCTTGGAGTCAAGACTCCTCTCCCAGTTTACTGGCTATGTGACCTTGAATAATTTTGTTAACTTTTCAATAGTCTGAGGTTCCTGATCAGAAAGGGGGACATACTGTCTATCACCAAGGGCTGTTGTAAAGATGAAATAAGAAAATAGCACAATATATTTTCAAAAGTGAACAGCTTGTATTTAGTACATGACTAGTCCAACCCATCTATATCACAGCGAGAAAATAGAGGTCACAGAGGTTAAGTGGCATTTCTCAGGTGACATGCCCATGCCAGCTGCATGTCTGCACCACAGATAAAGGAACTACTCATTTTTTCTTTCCCACTAAGTACAGAACTATCTGCACATACACAATCTTAAATTTATATCTCTATGTAAAAGTAATGTTTTTGCAAAAGTACTATTTTAAATTTATAAATTTTGGTGTGTGGGTTTTTTTGGTTTGGTTTTTGTTTGTTTTGTTGTTTTTTTTACATTTGCCATTTCCTGTACTTGGTATCAACTGTGGTTCCTCAATTATAGCATAAACTTCTGCCTCCTTCATGACCCCGAATACAATGCTGGAAGGACTATAGGCACTTCAGAAATATTTATTAGATGGAATTAGTGCAAGTAATTCAGTGTTTATGCTGTGGGATCCAATCCTAATGGGCATTCTAATGTAATTTCTAAAAGAGGAATGATTTTCTTGATGAGTGTATCGCACTTTTTCAGTACTATTTCTAATTAGCTTTTTTTTCCTAGTGCATTAAACCAAACACTTCACCTGTGTGATTTCATTTAGATCCACAGTAAATCCTACAAGTTGCATATGATCGCTATTGCCTGCTTTTTATAAATGAAGAACCTTGATATGTTTTCATACAGGTCTTGGATTTGCGTGTCTGTGGAACTGCCTAGATTAGTGTGTTCTTTTGAGTGGTACCTTTACTGGAAATATAGTAAGAAAATACTACTTTCCTAGTTGGAACACATATAAAAACTCTTAATTCACTGCCATTGGGTTGGATTTGACTCATAGCTACCCTTCACCCGGGTTTCCAAGGCTGTCTGTCACGTGGGAGGAGATTGCCCGTCTTTCTTCAGAGGAGCTGCCAGTGGATTCTAACTGCCACAGAGATGCAGCCTTTGGTTAGCAGGGCGATTGCCAGGGTCTGAACTATGCCACCAGCGCTCCTGATACTATGCTATAAAATACAGCAGCTGTCACAAGAGCTTCTAAAGAATGTAAAGGATCCAGCAGATGCATGAAGAGCCACTTCTTCGTCTCCTGCAATCCCTCCCTGGAATTCTGGGCTTGGACTCCGCTGTAGGACAGTGAGGAGCTCTGAGGTTTTTCATGGATTGAATAATATGGGCAAGTGCCCAACAGTGTTCCAAGAATTTAAAAGAATACATAAATCCTGTTGAGAGGAGAAAAAAAAATGCATTCCAGCATACCAGTTACTGTTTATGAAAGTGGATAAGTAATATTAATGAAGCCTTGAGTGCAGTCAAAATCTGAAGCTGTGTGTGGAGCGGTTTGCCGCTGCAGACTTCTCTGAGGAGGGTACCTTCAGACATCCTTTTTATTCTAAGTTATCTGATCAATCTTGGGATCTGCTCTTCTCGTGGTTTTTGGTTTGGTTTGGTTTTTGTTTTTTTGCTTCTGCGATTGGTATTTTTGAGGTGAAAATGTTTGCCCCCAAAAGAATATTGTTTTTTCCTTGAAGTCTGAAGGCTTTTTCATAATGGAAGGCTTTGAAATGTTAATGTGAGTCTATGTAAAGTGCGTCCTGAGACTTGCTGATGCAAAGCATTCATTTCCATGTGCATTTGCATGAGTGTAAACTCAGAATTTATTGGCGATCTTGCACCTGCATTTTTATTTTAGGACCCACTTACATCTATTCCTGCAAAATCTTTTGTTTAGTTTGAATGCCAAGTTCTGCTGAATCCAGAAGAAGAGTTAATCTTGTCATCTATGCCACAAATGATCAAGTGAGAACGTCAGACCTCCTTCACTGGACACTTGTTTGAAGTCTCTTAGCTATGTGGATCAAAACTCTTGACCTTCTTTACTAGTTAAATATGGGTCATTTGCATTTTGCATTTTTTAATCTTACATTGCTCGGAGAAAGTATCTCATTTCAGCTTCCTGCACAAGAATCTTTTTCACACACTTTAGATTTTAATCCTAGCTATATGTTCAATTTTAATGGAAAATAAATAACCTGTTAATTGATCAACAGCATGGGTCTGGGACATTTCTAAGAGGCTCCTGTAGAGAAGTGTCCATCTTTCCCTGCACATAGTTTATGGAGTGGGTTGGTTTTTTTCCTACTCACCCAGTCCTTCATTTGTTAAACATATTTGACACCCACGGTGTACAGCCACTGGGTGCCGTGGGTACAAAAAACTCCTAATACTGTCTAGGCTGTGGCCCCACAGTGATTGGAGATCCCTGCGAGCCAGGCAGTTCCAGTGCTGTCAGGTGCAGTCTGACTCCTGGGACCATCCATTGGGTTTCTGAGGCTTTAAATCTGCTTTCTCCTGGAAGCAGCTGGTGGGCTTAAACTAGTGACTTTCAGTTAGCTGCCCAGCACCTAACCTGTAAAGGTGCTGCACAGGACAGGCACTCTCTGGCACACTGGGCACCTTGTTCCATCTAAAGAGGGCAGCAGCTCCTGAGTTCTACCCTGTTCCTGCATACAGGAATTTGGTCAGAGAAGCCAGACACCCAATTTTCAGATTAAAAGCTAATTTTTAAATGTGGATAATTTCATTTTTTAATGTGTGAACCAAACAAAATATAACGTACTGTTTGGCCAAACATGATAGTGAGCCCCCTTTTGTGGCCTCTGGTCTAACTGGTGCCCTCGCATGCCATTCTTTAACACACTATGGTTGATGACAGTTCCTATACTCTCACGAAGCAGCTACGTTTGCCACTAGTTCTTTGGACTCACAGAATCCTCCAGCTTAAATCTTCCTCTGGCCAGCTACATGGTATTGTAACCGAGCGGCTGCAGGAGCCCAGGTATATAATCAAAGCATAATTAGAGTGGTCTAGCAGATGGTTAGGCTTTATGATTTGTGGATGAATTCTTTTACTGGCATAACAACGTTGTTAGCAGTATAAACACAATGTTTTGGATGGTTTTTCTTACTGTCTGGAGAATAGTTTATGGTTTGCATGAAATCTACACTCTTGGTTCATTTTATACTTCTTGTTATGCTTTGATGATGTAACTGGGTTTTGGCAGAGAAGAACAACCTCAACGAGATGGATTAACCCAGTGACTGCAGCAATGGACTCTAGGGTGGCATAGATGATGAGGATGACACAGGATAGGACAGGATTCAGACCTGTTATTCATAGGGTTGATATCAATCGTTGGTACAGAGTCCTTGTACCAAAAAGAACTGGCTGACACAGAGAAATTTAATGAAACAATGCATGATCAAGGGCCTATGGTGATGAAGGAGAAAATTCAGACTGCTGTGTAGGAATTGGACAAAAACAAGAGCCTGGGAATTAATAGGAATGCCAGTTGACATATACACCTGGACACACACCAGATTGTGCCAAGAAATCTGGAGGACAAATGCCTGGCCAACTGACAGGAAGAGATCCAAATTTATTCTGATTTTTTTTTTTAAAAGGTGACCGACAAAGTGTGTGGAAATTAGCAAGCAATATCACTAATATCACATGCAAGCAAAATCCTGCTGAAGATTATCAAAAATCAACTGGAACAGCACATTAACAAGAGCTACCAGAAATACAGGACAGGTTTAGAAGAGGCCGTGGCACTAGAGACATTTCTGCCACTGTCAGATTGATTTTGGCAGAAAGCAAAGAGTACTAGAGGAATATCTATGTTTCATTGACTATGAAAGGAATTTGGCTGAATCACAACAAATTGTGGCTAACCTTGAGAAGAATGGGAATCCCAGAACACTTGATTGTGCTCATGGGAAACCTATACTTGGACTAGGAAGCAGTCGTCAGAACAGAGTAAGGAAACATTGCATGTTCAAGTTTAGGAAAGGAGTGTGTCAGAGATGCATCCTCTCTCCATACCTTTTCAATATGTATGTGGAACATTTGAGAGGCTGGGCTTTATGAGGAAGACTCTGGCATCAGTATTGGAGGAAGACTTATAATCAACCTGCAATATCCAGATGACACAACCTTGTTTGCTGAGACTGAGAAGGATCTGAAGCATTTGCTACAAAGGTCAAGAACTGTAGTCTTCAATATGGATCGAAGCTCAACATCAAGAGGACAGATTCTCACCAGTATGCCAGTTGGCAGCACAATAATAGATGGAGAAGAGATTGAGTTTGCTAACAATTTCAGCTTGCTCAGCTCCACAGTCAACACTCTTGGCACTGCCAGAAATCAGGAAATCACTGCCAACAATCAGGAAAACAGAAGATGAATTGCATTGGGGAAGTCTGCTGTCAGGGACCTCTCCAAAGTGCTGAAGAGCCGTGATGTCAGTCTAGAGATGAAGGTATGCATGATACAGGCTATATAGTCTTTGTAAATACTTGCTATATATCAGAGAGCTGGACAATGACTAAAGATGATAAAATAAGAATGAATGTCTTTGACTTGTAGTGCTGGAGAAGAGTTTTGAACATAAAGCATGTACTTCTAAGAGAATGAACAGGTCTGTCTTGGAGAGGGTATAACCAAGTTTCTCCCTGGAGGCTAGGACTTTGAAGCTCTGTCTCACATACTTTGGGCACATGGCCAGTAGAGACCAGTCCTTGGAAAAGACATCATGCTTGGAAGAGTAGAGGGACAGCACAGGAGAAGAAGACCCTAAATGAGATGGATTGACACAATAACTGAGGTATTGAGGGAAGCTATGTTGGAGTCAGTGAGACTGGCTCAGGACAGAACATGGTTCAGAGCTATTATACATAGGGTCACTATGAGTTGCAGGTGACTTGATATAACACATAACAACAATGAGTCTTAGTCAACTTGATGACTAAAAGAGACAAACATAATCTAACAACTCTTAAAATCAGAAATCATATTGTTTGGTGGCCTAGTGGTAAGGAATTGTGCTGTCAACCCAAAGACACATGATTCAAATCTGGCAGCTGTTCTGCACGAGAAAGATGGGGAGTCTCTTCCTGTGTAATTAATTTGTCTCTGAAAAGCTGCTGGAGTGTCAGTATAAGCCAATACCAACTCAACGGTACCCAACAATAGCAATGTATTATTTGACTCTGCCTTTGCCTTAGTCTGATCTAATGAAATGGTTGATCTTTGCCCAACCCAAAATGGAATGTGAATTTGATGTACATGTTGTGTTAAGTTAAATAGGCCTCTCTCTTTCTAACACTCAAAAGTATTTGTCCAAAAAAGTTCCGTTTATAGAGAACTTGAATTAAAGAACTACAGACCTATCTCTTAGAAGATCATACCTCTTATGTAAATCTCTTTCTGTGTGCTCGTTTTTATTGTTCTGAGTTCTTAAATCCTTTAGGAAACGCACACAACATACACCTTAACCTGTGGGCTACAGTCTGTATTTGAATCTTTAGTAAATCTGACAGATGTGTGAAGATGTGACACCACAGAAATCCCCAGTGTCTAGTGTCTTCTCTTCAGGTGCAGATGCTGAAAAGTGACACCAATTCAGTCCAAACTGGTTTTGACTCACTCTTGAATGTGTCCATTGGGGACACACTGAAGAATTTTATAAGACACTCTGGCCTGGGACTTATTTTTGCAAAGTAGAAGTGTACTTGCAGAGTCTCAAAAGCTTGGTTTTGTGGGGTGGTTTGTTTGGGGGTTTTTTTTTTGGCTTTTTAAGATAAATTTTTATTTTATATTGGTTTATTTGCAATGATTGTATCCATTGTGCTTTCTTGACATGTATTTCATACAATCATTGCCATTAATATATATTTTATAAAATTAATCAACATTTACATATCCCCACCATTGCCCTTGTCTTTCCAGATCCCCACCTGATCTTTCCCATTTCCTTTACCCATCCCCCCATTCATCAAATTGTGCATCCACTCACCCATCCTCACCCCTCTGCTCCAACCCCCCTGATCCTCATACACATTTTACTAATTATCGTTCTATTTCTACAATAATGGTCTTATACAATATTTGTCCTTGTGAGACTGAGTTCACTCAGCAAAATACTTTTGTGAGGTTTTTTGGTTTGTTTTAGATTCAGAGTTAAACCATTTCTATTCTGACACGCACAAAAGTCTGTACCAATAAAATAAAATTGAAAAATTATATAAATTACAGTTTTCTTCTTCAAAATCTTAGAGTTTTATGTTTTGATTTGGTTTTATCAATACTCACAGCTAATAAAGACTTTATATCAGTGTCATTTTAATATGTCTTCCTCAGAGTGATTTGCTCTTAAGTAATTTACACATTTAGAAGTGTGGCTTAAACAGGTGAAATCAGACCCCAGTGACAAAAATGAACTAGAAGAAGGTGGGTGAGAAGTGAATCCGAGCGGTTGTGTTTGGTTTTGGGACCAGTGAATGAGGCCATATGGAAGTGGGCTGTCAGATAATAGACATGAAGAGCGAGCCCAACTCAGAAAACAGAATCGTGCTCTGAAAACGCAGTCAGTCTGTAGAGGGAGGACTGCTTCCAAGAAGTGAAGTCATTTAATATGTTTAAATCTCTGGCCCTAATGCATTATCCCTTCTTATTTGGCAGTGGAAATTCTGACTGCTCGGCAGAAGAAAGCAGAAGAACTGAAGAGACTGGCTGATCTGGCCAGTCAGATGGCAGAGATGCAGCTGGCCGAACTCAGGGCAGAAATTAAGGTCAGTTCTAAAATGTCACCGGCTGGCCCTTGAACCTCACTTTGTTGGTTTTGCATCCTTAGAGTGCCGTGCTCTGAGGAACTAGCAACCCACACGATACTCTTTCCCGAGGTTAAAAAAGAGAACACAGAAGGGTGGAGAACCTCCGGAATCACTGTCTTTAAGTACAGTGTGGTTTGGAAGATACATTATTATGGAAGAAAGGTATAGGCTGTTTTCTTAGTCAGTGAAGACTGACTCGAATAAAAGACTCAACCATGATTCTTTTCACTATATGTAATTTATGTGTATATTTTGATACAAGGCCTTTTGTTCATAGAGTTGCTATGAATTGTGCTCGACTCGACAGCAGTCAACAACATATATATAAAATACACACACATGTGAACACACACTATTATATATGACCTTAGTATAACAGCAAGAATTACACAGCATGTACTACCTGTGACCAATTCTTCCCCATAGTCCTTTTATAAGTTACTTGCTCTTTTATTAGGAATAATAACCATAAATGTGTATTTATTAGATATCTTACTTACAGCCTGTAAAGATTGACTAACCTCGGGAACAAGTAAAATTTGAAAGCAAGTGGGTGTGTGGAAGGCTGTGTGAAGAATGTGGGGTGCCTTCAGGAGAATCCTGATGGCTTGTGTAATGCAGCAGTAATTACCACACATTGTCTTCAGGGCCCTATCAGATGAATAGCCTCCAGATGTCATCAGCCTTTGTGCCACTTCACATGGAGAGAGTCTCAGTGGCGTCCACTCGGGTCAATTCATCTTTTGCTAAAGACGGGCTATGACATCTTGATTGACAGACAAACCAAGACTGCATTCAGAGAAGCAAAAATTATTTTTTTAAACCACCTTAGGGTCCAGCTACCCAAAGGATAAATGGATTCCTGGAATGCAAAAGCAAGATCTGTAACAGCACAGGGAGTTAAGGTTTTCATACATGTCTTATCCTCCTCAATCTCCTCAGCATCTCTCTCTCACGCGCGCGCACACACACACACACACACAGCACAGGGAGTTAAGGTTTTCATACATGTCTTATCCTCCTCAATCTCCTCAGCATCTCTCTCTCACGCGCGCGCACACACACACACACACACACACACACACATTCCAGCTTCTTATGCACTTGTAGAGAACTGTACGTGTTGTTTCTGTACTTTGAGTCATTTCAAAACACAGTTGCTGCTAACTTGAGAAGTTGGATTGTTTGCTCATCTGAACATAAGACTCATAGGAAGTTGCAATCCCCCTCTACCCTGATGCACCACACTCACTGCTGTAAAGTCAGTTCATCACCACCATCCTTTGGGTTCCCAAGGCCTTTTAACATGACAGGAAGTGAGTGGCCATATCTCCCTAGGAGCCCCTGGTGGATTTGAACCTCTAAAGACTCTCAACCTTTTTGTCAGCAACGCAGCTCTCTAAGGGTCTATGCTGCCAGAGTGGCCCATCCTGATTGGGCAAGGGGAACCCACAGGAAAGAAGTGCTCCCCTCAGAGTACTTAGACGCTCTCAGTGTCCTCCTCTTCCACCTTCAGTCTTTAGATTTTACTGCCTCTCCCAACCCAGGGTTATCACAGTGCTTCCACCGTCTTCCTCCAGCCTTGTCATTTACCTGGACTTACAGCCCTGCAGCTGGTCTGGTCTCCCTCGGTATGGCTCGCTTGCCCTTCAGAATAACATCCACAACTGGGATTCATTATTTCCCTACAGGGCTCTCAGCTTGTTAAAACATCAAATGAAGATTATGAAGTTGCCTGCTTCCTGTTTTACTGAAAGCTACTATCTTTCAAGTTTAATTTCTGCCTGTCAGAAATCCCACTCATCATTAAATGGTAAATGGCATAGGCTTTGGAGTGAACCCATCCAGCTTCAGAATTTTCTACTTTTGTGGCTTTGAATAAAATCACTTACTCTCTTAGATTCATAAAACCTCAATTCTCCCAACTATGAAGAAGAGATCATAATATCACTGTCTTCTTATAATGCAGTCCAATGAAAGGGAGATTATCTTGAGAATTTGGCTAGTATCTGGCACATGTTACATTTGTGTAATGTTACAGCTCTGATATAAGTCTTTCACCATTCCTTTAGTAGGAAGTCATTTCTTACTCATATTCTTAAAGCTCCTACTACATTCTACCTTGCATTGTGTTTAGTGTGTTTGCCTCCTTTGCCATGTAATGTTAAACTCCCTGTTAAACTTGGAGAAGGAGTGTGTCATAGTTATTTCTGTATCTCACTCGTCCATCTACACATCGATCTTAATTTTAAATATGTTTGTCAGGGGAGGGTATCTCCCACTTGAATTAACAGCACTGAAAACTCCCCCCATTCAAGATAATGATTTCTAAATCTTTAAAAAATCCAGCTTCTCTGTAAATGTTAAAATCACAATTAAAATAAAATTTTATTATTTTTTTTTTAAAGAGGCGTTTTGGTGGTATAGTCCTTAGGGACATCTAAACTTAACAGCTAAATTAAAAGTCCTCTCTGCCTCTCTGACAGTTCAGATACACGAGTAACTGAGGGAGAGGCAGTCTCCTCCTGTGATCTTCAGCCCCTAAAAACCCACTGGAGGGTCAGTTCTGAGTCAGTTCCAACTCGACAGCAGTGACTAAGTGGCTCGGTGAATGCTTTGTTAAAATACAGATGAGTACTCAGGAAAGATGACATTTTTCCTTGACAGTTAATCCATCAGCAGTTGATTGGCCAGATGAGGAAGGTCCCACAGGAAGACAGCCCAGACAGTTGTAACAGCTGGGAAATGCTAGGAGAAGGGAAACCAGTGTTCATCCCATGGCCACCTTTTTGTGTCAGAGAAGATCTGTGGTCCGTGTGGTTTCCATTGGCTGATGTTGTTGGAAGTAGATTGCCAGGTTTTTCCTCCAAGGTGCCTCTGATGGACCTGAACTTCCAGTGCTTTGGTGAGTGGTTGCATTCATTAACCATTAATAAACCAAGGATCCAGAAGATGCTTCCAAACATACATTTTGTATCACAATTTTGCCTCAGACCAGGTGGAGAAAGACGAGACCCACAGAACAAGAAGGTGATCATGCCCCCAGCAGAATGGAGCTGCAAGGGGACAGGCCCATGTGGCCAGTGCCATGGTGGGCACACAGCAAAGCAGGGTGAATGACATGCCAGAGACCTGGGCTCGCTCTCTAACTTCAGGGCTCTTGTTTTTCCTCTCTTTCCTCCAGCACTTTGTGAGCGAGCGTAAATATGACGAAGAGCTCGGGAAAGCTGCCCGATTCTCCTGTGACATTGAACAGCTCAAGGCCCAAATCATGCTCTGCGGAGAAAGTGAGTTTTGCATACTTGCTAAATAATTCTTTGTGAGTAAGCTCCAGGCTCTTCAGAGTTGATGTTGGAAATGTCAGGTGTGCTGCCTCCAGGGGACTAAAGTGAGGTCTAAAGATGTTTAATGATCAAAGGTCAGGACACAAGTCACTAGAAATGTCAAGATGTGAACTTAGAGTCTTCAAATGCCACTGCCCATCAGTAAATCCCCAGGTTTTATTAAGCGGAACAGAACAGGTCAACTAGTTTATACCTTTTGCAAAATTATTTTAAGCACTGCAAGATAAACGGCTCCTCTGATTTCAAACAACTCCCACTCTGCGGAGACCTGTTCCATCAGAGTGAGGCTTCCAGCGTCTGGAAACAGTCAGCTATTGTGAAGGGCCCAGCTGCTGTGCACACGGCTCAGCAGTGTCCTGGGCCGGCGTCCACCCTGTGCCACGTGAAGGCTGCGGATAATGCAGGGCTTCACTTCAGCCATTAGCTTTCGCCTTAATTAGAGCAGCTAATATGCAGCGAACTGGCAGGGAATGCTTCTCCCAAATCCAGCCCACCCACCTAGGAGGCAGGAATGACACTAACACAGCTTGAAGGACAGCCGGACGAAGGACAGATGAGGGACGTGGAAAACCCATCGTGTGGCTCACAGTGGGACACTAAACACTGAAATTTGGCTACATTTTCCCCTTCTTTCTGAAGGTTACAGAACACTATTTATTAGGTAGAACTATGTTACTTTTGTGTTATTTTAATGTACATATAAACATAGTCCTTTTCTAAAAATTACCATGTAAATGATATAGTAAATATATATGTAATTATACTACAAGTTATAATTTCCTGTACTGTACAACATATGTATATAGTAATGTAATTTGTTCTTATCACTTCATAAGAGGTAGACATTTTTTCTTGTCAATGTACTTAACTGATAATGTATCTAAATATCATTTATGCAACCATTCCCATGATTAGAGACATGTAGATTGCTGCTGGGTTTTCACCATTAAAAATAACGCTGATGTGAGTGCCCTTGTTTGCCCAGCCTTGGCAAGTGTCTGGATATATGATTACACTTTTCATAAATTGACTCCCTTTTTTTCACCCCCTCTATGCCTCCTCCTGTCTTACCCATTTGCCATTCTCCATCCTAGCTTTTGCCTCACGTCTAAAAGCCCAGTCATTCTGCCTCACAGCTGGAAATGTAACTGTAACTGCCCTTCCTCGTTTCCATTTCAGTCTGATGATGGGCTAGACATTAATGCTTGGTGACTCTCATTAACCGTTCTAGGTGGCAGAGAGAGGGGCACCTTCACCCACTTTCTTCCCAGACAGTTCAAGTGCCACCTAGTGGAAGGAACCACCCCTTTCCTAAGCACATGTGTCCTCTTTTTCTGACATTTGCAGATTTCCTTCAGAGATAAGCCTCCGCAGACCTTCTGCCCAGCTTTGTTGAGAGCACATTAAGAGACCACAGCTGGAACCATAGTGTGACTCCTATTCCTGAGCTAGAAATAATAGCTAATAAGGGGAAGGAGTGACCCCAATGAAGTGAAAAGCGCCAGAGCCACCCAGATCCCCCCGTGCTGTTGGACACCCCCTGAATCGCTGTCAGACTGTTCCTTTCAAAAGAAGAGACTGGAGCTAGGTCCTTGTCCTTTCTGTTTCCCGTGTCCTGTGACTCTGTGACGAGTGTGCTAGTCACTCCTAATCCTCTAGAAAAACGCTTGGGATTAGGTCTGATCCAACCAGGAGTGGCAGAGAAAATTGCTTTTAGAAATTGGTGAGTTTTTAAGGTTCAGGGAAAGGGCTCGCTGACCAGCCTAGCAGCTTGGTTTTGGGGACCCGTGAGAGGGAGACCCATGTCTTTCCCCTGGAGTGGATTCCCTTTACCCCCTCCTTAGCATAATCACTTCCCAACTCTCCACTCCCAGACCAGCAGGAAGGACTGGGCATCCCAGTCATTGAGTCAGGCTGCTTGGGTGCTACTAGAGGGCCGTCTGATTACCCACACTGCCTTTAGCTTTTGGCTGGATGCCAATTGGCAGTGGAGGTGTAGAAGCTGGGGTTGCTAAAAGGCTTGATGATGGCCTAGAGGTAAGGACTTGCACTGACAGCTCAAAAGAAGACAGTTCAAATCCACTATCTGCTCCATGGAATAAGAATGAGCAGTCTCTTCCCTTACAATTAACTGCCTCTGAAAACCTGCTGGAGGGTCAGCAGTGGTTTGGTTCACACTAGACAATGCACACCGCCAACAAAAGGCCTGATAATGCAGTTTGTGTAAAAACTATAGGGTGCCCCTGGAACTGGCAGGCCCAGTCCTATCTTGGGGACATGCATGGCCTAGGGGAGCAAAACCCCTGCCACCCACCCAGTGCTCTTGAGGCCATGGGTCTCTTGGCAGGCCAGCATGTCAGCGTGCCTTTCTGGGTCTCTGCAATTCCAGCATGTTGAGGGGCCTGGTGGAAATGTTGTGGACCCAAGATCAGAGGGGTCACAGGCGGGGCCTAAGAGGGCCCCTCCAGGTTTGTTTGTTTTTTTTCCTGCTTTCCTTGATGAGTTCTCAGCCCAGGGAACATTTCTCGGGCTGCTAAGAGGTGTCTGTCTCGTGCACATACGCTCTGCACAGCACGCTGCGTCTCAGCTCAGCCCCTCTTGGGAAGTTTGGTGGTCTCTGAACCTCAGGACGCCCCCTTTGCTCATGGGCAGCTGTGTGGATGGGGAGCCCATGACAGCCCATGTACTTTGTTGTTGCAGTTACACATCCAAAGAACAATTACTCCTCAAGAACTCCCTGCAGCTCCCTGCTGCCTCTGCTGAACTCTCACACAGCAGCCTTGGGGAAACAGAGCAGCTTTTCCCGCAAACCGCCCAGTCACAAGCCCTCCGAGGGGAAAGCTGCAAACCCGAAAATGACGAGCAGTCTCCCCAACACCACCGACACCTCTCACCAGACCATGCCGACCAGCAAGCAGGTACGACGCTCGGGTGGAGGGGCACCTTCAGGGGCTCGCGGACATCGGTCCGTGATGCCAGAGGGAGAAAACACTCATTTCAGGAGGAAGAACACAGAGCCAGAAACTGCTAGATGTTGGGGTCACAGCCGGGGCTCACCCCTCACAGCACAGTCTGGCCTCCAGGAAGTTCTCATCTCAGCTTGTCTGCATTCCACATTTCCTACCTGGAGGAAATAGCCTTACACTCTTGACAGCATAGTAAAGAGTCCACCAAAGTGCGATCCCTATAACTGGCCCACACTTGAAAGGACCCATGCAGGTATAGGATCAAGCTTTAACACCTGGCCACTGCACCAGAGGGAGTGGAAATCAGACACTATTTTTTTCCCCCCAAAAAATCATCCCCTTCTGTGTTGAATTTGTCAACTAGAGGTCAAAGTTAGTTCAGATTGTTTTTCTTCTCTTGGACTTTCTGACAAGGGAATACATTTCCAAATGACATTATTTGTTCTAACCAGCTCTGACCACGGAAAAGACAAGTTCCCAAAGGACAGTGTTCTCTCTTTTTTGTGCCTCTCCACCGTATCCTTGAGAGAAATTGTCCCGATCATTAAAAGATAAACAAGAAATATGACCTGGTGACATTAGATGCTGGGCATGCTATAAAAATACTTTTTAGGATCTCTAAGAGACTTTTCTTTCAGTATTCCAAAGCAATGGCATCCTAGCCCTGTTGGGTTCTGTGGTCTCTGTCTTGTAGCTTGCCCATTAATGACACCGGCAGGCATTTCTTGTGCTCTGAAAATCTCGATGCACTTCAGTACAGCACTCTCTTCACAGATTGAAAATCATAATCCCACCTGTTTTACTTATGGTCTAAATACATCCTTTGTCCTTTGCACATTATCATGCATACGAAAATTTAGTTTAAGACTTTACATTTCACAATTTTTTTTAAAATAAGCAAAGGAGGTTAAACTGGAGGTTATCTATATTGACACCTTTTCAGGTCAGTCTTACTGTTTTTGGCAAAGCATTTTAAGTTCATTCATTTAAGTTGAAAGATACATCTAATCCAGCATCCTCCATATCTAAATTAAACCCTTGGCCCATGCCCTGTTCTTCAGTGGAAGCAAAGAGAGGTTCCCTCTCAGAACCTGCATTCTGCGCTACAGAATGTTTTACAAGGATCTGGAGTTTTCAAGTGACTCGAGGCTGCGCTCAGGCACTTCTGTGCTGCTTCCCTGGGCATGTCATCTGAGGGCTGAGCAAGCTGCTGGTTTTCACATGCAGAATCAGGCAAGGTTTCATTCTGCTGCTGCTGCTTGTTGTTGTTGGGTACCAGGTCGACTGTGGACCTGTGACTCACAGTGAGTCACAGCAGGTCTGAGCCTTGCCTGTCCTGCAATGTCCTCATCTCTGACGTGCTCCAGTCCCCTTACAGTCACGCTGTCTGTCCATCTTGTAAAGAGTCTTCCTCTCTTTCTCTGACCCTCCACCTTTTCCAGAATGATATCTTTTTCCATTGACTGACCCCTCCTGCCCAAATTATGTGAGAATATGTTTCCTCATCCTTGCCCCTGAGGGACACCCTTCTTGTCCTTCCTCCGAGACAGACTTGTTTGTGCTTTCGGCAGTATTCAGTAGTTTTTTCTGCACCACAATTCAAAGACATCACCTCTTCTTCTGTCTTACTTATTAATTGTCCAACTTCCAGATGCAATAGGACACAATTGAAAAAAAGCCTTCATTTGGATTGTGTGCATCTAAATATTTAAACTGGCTTCCTTGCTCGCTGTTAGCATTTTGGAGAGGTCTTTGAAAGCAGATTTTGTTTCCAATCAGCACATCTTTTGATTTCTTCACTGCTGCCACCATGGGTATAGATTGTGAATCCAGGTAAAATGAAACTGTTAATAACATCATCTTTTCCCTATCATGATGTTGCCTGTTGGCTCAGTGACAAAGATTTTTGTTTTCTTGATATTGGGATTTAATCCATATTGATCTTCTAAAATAAGTGCTTCAGGTCTTCACTTTCTGCAAGCAAGATGTGTCATCTGCATAATGCAAGTCATTGATGATTTTTCCTCCACTCCTGGTGCCACAATCTTCTTCATATACTCTAGCTTCTCAAATTATGTGCTCAGCATACAGGTTGAATAGGAATGGAGAAAGGATACGACTCTAATGCAAACTTTTCCTGATTTTAAACCATGCAGTGTTTCCTTGTTCTGTTCTGACAGCTTCTTCTTGGTTTGTGTATCATTTTGTATGAGCACAGATACGTACTGTTGTGCATAGGGTCACTGAGTCAGACATGACTTGACATTAAGGCTCGAATGAGTATCCATATTCATGAGTATGAGGCACTCTTACAGTGTGGAGCAGAGCCAAAGGTGGGCGAGGAGGCCAGAAAACCTGTCTCTCTCAATCCTTCCATTTTGGCACAGAACTTGAAGAGTTCAAGGTGTCTGTAATTGATCCTGGCTGTCTCTGTCCTTGTGGTTGTTGTTGTTAGGTTCCTGTAAAGTCCACCATGACTCTTAGTGATGCTGCCAGTAACAGATCTGAGCGTTGCCCTGTCCTGTGCCATCATCACCATCTCTGCTATCGTCACTTGAGCTCATTAATACAGTCACTGTGTCAGTCCGTCTCATTGAAGGTTGGCTTGGCTGACCCTCCACCATTCCAAGCGTGAAGTCTTTCTCCAAGGACTGGCCTCTCTTAGCAACATGCCCAAAGTATGAGAGACTAAGTTTCACCATATTTGTCAGAGTAGATGGATGGATGGATGGATGGATGGATGGATGGATGGATGGATGGATGGATGGATGGATGGATGGATGAATAGATAGATAGATAGATAGATAGATAGATAGATAGATAGATAGATAGATAGATAATTTTTATATATGTTACCCTATATGTACAATGGTTAGATGAGCTTCCAGATTGATTCATGTTGTGAAGCAGGAGGAGCATCCACTTCCTAAACTAGGTGCCTCTGGAAACTCTACAAACACTCTTATAAATGTACAGAAAAGATGATGTTAATCATAGAAAAAAGCTCAGGTCTTTTGTACAAAGCTTACTCTGAGTCATTCAACTCAACAACACTTAACCATTGCTAAATGAGACTAATGCTGTTATATCTTGGGAGGAGCATTCTCCCACTTTGCACATCACTCTTTGTCAATGTACTATATGAGGTAATCTGGGTTTGCTATGATGCTGAACCTTGTGTCATGGGAATATCAAATACCAGAACGGTTTCCCATTGTGGACAGTGTTTGATGGAACTCCCAGTTGTAAAACAGGTTGGGAAACAGGAGTGGTATCCACTTCCTAAACCACATGCCCCTGGAAGCTCTGTGAACTTGGAGAAACAAAGATAGCTGTGGAAAGGCATCTTTTGCTCATAGAGTCGCTATGAGTCGACCTCAACTCAACAACAATCAACAACAACAACTTTTTAGTAATATATATATATATATATATTAGTAATATATAAGTATGCCTGAGTAATGGTGGCACAGTGATTAAAGTGCCTGGCTGCTGACCCAAAGGCTGGTAGTTTGAAACTACCAGGAGCTCATGAGACAAAGATGTGGCAGTCTGCTTCCATAAAGATTTACAACCTTGGCTTTCTACGAAGATGGCGCCGAAAGCTAAGAAGGAAGCCCCTGCCCCTCCCAAAACTGAAGCCAAAGCAAAGGCATTAAAGGCCAAGAAGGCAGTCCTAAAGGGCGTCCACAGCCAAAAAAAAAGAAGATCCGCACGTCACCCACGTCCCGGCGGCCTAAGACGCTAGGACTCCGAAGGCAGCCCAAATACCCCCGGAAGAGCACCCCCAAGAGAAACAAGCTTGACCACTATGCCATCATCAAATTTCCCCTGACCACTGAGTCAGCTATGAAGAAGATAACAGCACACTTGTGTTCATTGTGGATGTCAAGGCAAATAAGCACCAAATTAAACAAGCTGTAAAGAAGCTCTATGACATTGACGTGGCCAGATGGAGAGAAGAAGGCCTATGTTCGACTTGCTCCTGATTATGATGCTTTGGATGTTGCCAATAAAATTGGGATCATCTAAACTGAGTCCAGCGGACTAATTCTAAATACAAATTTTTCTCACCATAAAAAAAAAAATTATTTACAACCTTGGAAACTGTATGGAGTGAGAGGCCTTTTCACTAAGACACTTCAGAATTGTTGGCTGAGAACCACAAGAACTTCTCCAAAGGAATACTGAAGGTACACATGTTGCCTCCACGTCCCCCACGCTCTACTGGATACACCTTAACCCTGTACTTTCCCAAGACTGTACTTGTGATGAGATGTTGGTTTTTATATAAAATAGAAAACCTGCTTTAGAGAAGAAAAAATTTAAGTAAAATTTTGCCATTTTCTACATATATTTATTTAAGGTTCATTTAGTGTTGTCCCTGGGAAAAGACGTCATACTGAGCAAAGTAGAGAGTCAAAAAAAGAAGCAAGCTTTTAGTGAGATGGGTTGACACAGTGACTGCGGAAACGGGCCTGAGCACAGCAACGATTGTGAGGACAGCGCAGGACGGGGCAGGGGAGTGGTGTGTCGTTCGGGGATCCCGGCACTCCACGTCAGAGCCACCAACAGCAACATAGTATCTTCCACTAGAGCCCCAGAAGTTCTCGTGCTCTTACCTTCTCTTTGGTTTTATTTCCAGTTTATTATAGCTCTCCTTTTGTGTAGTTCTTGTTTGTTTGACTTGTGTAAAGCAGCCCTATAGTAGTACAATGATTAAGCACCTGGATGCAAACTGAGAGGCTGATGGTTCAAATCCACCCAGCAGCTCCATGGGAGAAAAAAATTGAAAAACCGAAACCAAGTCCATGATCATCATGCTGATTCCAAGTCACAGCAACCCTGTAGGACAAAGAATTATCTCATGACGTTTCAAAGGCTTTCAGTCTTTACAGCAGACTGCCATGTCTTATCCACCTTGACTCCAGGGCACCTCAATAAAGATTATAGCCCAGGAGACCCCGCAGGGCAGGTGTACTCCCTACTGTAGGGTCATCATGAGTTGGCAGCACACAGCAGCAATAACATGCCTTCGAAGCTCTTTCAACATCAAGTCATATTCTTTAAGTTCCATTTACAGCAGCCTACTAATCTTTTTTTCACTTTTTAATTATGATCTGAGTAGACATTTATTGCATATTCTTGGTTTTCAATCATTTGTGCATATTTTTATAATAGCATTAATTACAATACTACATTGTCTAATTGTCCACTCATTCCCTATTGTCTTTCACTCTACCCGTATTAATAAGTATTGTTTATCCATTAACCAGTTTTCTACTTCTCCCCTCTCCCTTCCTTGCTAACTATTCTAGTATTTTATTTTGTCTGTGTATAAACCTTTCTTTTTATAATAGTGGCCTTAGAAAGTATTTGTCCTTTTGTGACTGACTCATTTCACTCAGCATACTGTTCTCTGTGTTCATCGTGTTTCATGAAGTCTTCGTTGTTTTTCAGTGTTGCATACCACTGTGCAGATAAGCCATTGTTTCTCTGTCCTTTGATTGATGGACACTTGGGTTGTTTCCCACTCTTTGCTACTGTGAATAATGCTTCATTAAACATATGTGCATATATCTGTTTGTGTCCCAACTCTTATTTCTTTAGGATTTATACCTAGTAGTAGAATAGATGAAGTAAATGGTATTTCAATTTTCAACTTTTTAATGTAACATCAGACTGCTTTACACAGTGCTTACACTATTTTGCATCCCACCAGCAGTGTTGAAACTTCCGATCTCAACACCCTTTCACCATAATTTCTTGTTCACTAACTTGCTGAGCTTTTCTATATTGTTGCTGGGCTAAAGTGGTATCTCACTATTGTCTTGTTGTGCTTCTCTTTAATAGGCAGTGATTTTGAACATTCTTTCATAGAAGCATTGACCATCTAAATGTCCTCTTTGGTGAAAAGGGTTTCCAAATCTTATGGCCATTTTGGACATGCATTGTTTTATCTTTTTCTGTTTGAGTTGTTGGCATTCTTTATAGGTTTGTGATCCCTTTGGCAGCTGTATTATTACCAAATGTTTTACCCACTCTTTGGGTTCTCTCTTTACTTTTTTGCAAAAAAATTTTAAAGTATTCAAGTATTCCATTTTTAGAATGTACCATTTATTTGTGCTCACTTCAGGATGGCACGCAAATTCATGAAGTGTTCCATATTTTTGAGATTAGAACAGCATAGAGCAGGGTTTAGGGCTGCTGTACATAGGGTCACTATGAGTCACAGGCAACTCGACAGCACATAACAACAGCAGCAACCACCATTAGTTTATTTACCCTCTTCTGATTTTGCATTTTTTACTTATATTTGATAGTCTCTTTATGCTGTGGATTAAGGTTCCTAAATTTGTGTGTATTTTTTCCCAGTGACCTTTATAGTTGTCCCTTTAAGACTGAGGATTTTCTCCATTCCATCAATTTGCCTGTGCTGGCTCTATGAAGTGCCATGAGAACAATCTTAGAGGCAGTGCAGCCTTAAAAGCAAGCGTGCTGAAACTTCGTCTCATATACTTCGGGCATGTTAGCAGGAGGGGCCAGGCCTTGGGAAAGGCAGAAAGTTAGCACGTGAGACCAAGACCCTCAGCGGAAGGCCTGGCTGAGAGCCTGCAGCGATGGAATTGAGCGTGGGAGACCATGGGACAGGGAGACCACGGGACAGGGAGAGCATGCGACAGGGCGGCAGTCAGCTCTGTTGTCCAGGGGCCTGCTATCAGCTGCTGCGGAGCCAGCGGCACCTAACATAACCCGTCTTGTAGAGTGTGCAGCAGCTTCCTGGAGGCACAGAGATGGGGTTTCCTTGACGTTTACTGATGTCACTGAGGGTTTGATGGGTGTTTGAACACTCTCAAAACTAACACTTACTTGCTTTTATTTTTTGATAGAATGGATCTTCTAGCCAAAGACGAAGATTTAATCCACAGTACCATAACAACCGACTAAATGGGTCGGCCAAGTCCCAGGGCAGTGGGAACGAAGCTGATCCCATGATGAAAGGCAACAACCGCCACGAACACAGAAGACAGCCCCACAACGGCTTCCGTCCCAAAAACAAAGGTGGCCCCAAAAACCAGGAGGCTCCCTTGGGTCCAAAGAGCCCTGAGGCCCCAGCCCATTCAGAAAAGCCCCGGCGAAGGCAGCACCTTGCAGACCACTCAGAGGCCAGGCCTTTCCGGGGTACCGTCTCCCGGGTCCCACAGTGCAACCTGTGCCCCACGAGAATAGAAGTCTCTGACGCGGCGGTCCTCTCGGTCCCAGCCGTGACGCTGGTGGCCTGAGCCGGCAGAGAGCAAAGCGGTTCCCACTCAGTTCTGGTTCCCCGCCCGAGGTGCTGACCCAATTCGCTGCCAAAAGAGAGTCGCTCGGAACATACCAACCCGTGTGGTTGCGTCATCCTCTCTTACTCATTTTTACTAATTCTAATAATCAGCGCTAGCTTGCTTCATAGCGTTCATGGCTTTGCTTGATCTGTTGATGCATTTCCTCGTGAAGACATTGCAGCATTTTAGCCAGGCAGTATTTACTCGTTCGTTAGGAAAATCAAGATGTGGCTGAAGACCAGAGGCTCAGTAGCAACCTGTTGTAGCGTGATGTCAGTCCCATTGGTCGTGTTTAGAGAGTTAATGTTGCAAAAGAAAAAAGTTTTTAAAAAAATTCTTAATGATTAGACAAACATGATCTGCTGAAGACACATGCGCTTTTGTAGAATTTAACATTTGTTTTTTCTGAAAAAAAAATATATATATACATATATTGCTTTATTTGAAACAAATTAAAATATGCTGCATTTGACACCTGGCTTGTTTGGGTTGTTTCCGTGCCCTCCTGGTTATTGACTGTATTGTGTAATATTCAAAAGAAAACCTTAGAGACAGAGTTTGGTTCTATTTCTTTTGTAAAAAATACCCTTCCAGGAAAAAAAGAATGACTATATAAATAATGCCCCTGCTGACCTGTTGCCCTGGCCTCCACTCACCTCACACGCCACATGCAGGTTAGGAAACCTCGGTCCAGAGCCTCAGTTCAGCCTGGCTTCCACAGTAATGAGAATTTATGGCCTCGGTGGCTGAGGAACCACATGTTAGTTTGCGTTGGGTCCAATCCGATCCAGGCTTCAGCTCCTTTCTCTTGATGATCTCGGCTCAACCTCCTTGTCATGTTGGCACTGTATCCAGAATGACTCATTTCCATGACAAAATGACTGCCTCCCTCCTAGAACTCAAATCCACACTCCACGCTGCTCAGAAGAAAGCAGCTCTCCTGGCTCCTTCATGGAGGAGGTCTCTGAAGTCCCAGCGACGCTGCTCTTGGCCCAGTTTTCTCCAGGACTTCAAACTGGTTCATTCCAGTTTGACACCCCACTGAGAAGTTGCCATTCCACTCAGGATACCCTGAATAGAATCACAAATGAGAGAGAAAAGCATAGTACCCTATCTCTGAAAACCAGCCATAGAAAGCTCACTGGTCACAGCTGTCCAGTTGGAACCATCTCCCAGCTGAGCCTCTAGCTGGCTTTTATGGGCTGCAAATCGCATGGATGGTGCAGGGCACAGCTGAGATCTATTGTTCATAGGGTCACAATGAGTCGTAATCGACTTGACGACACCTAAAAACAGCAACAAATTGCACAGAAGGAAATATCCTTCCTCAGAACAGTTGGTGGATTTGAACTTTTACCTTGAGGTTGGCAGTGTAAGTCCCTACCAACTAGGCACCAGAGCTCCCTGGGGATGGCTTTAGGACCAGCCTTTTATTGGGCATAAGGTCACCTGAATCATGGGCCTAAGTCACAACAAGAAAATTACAGCAGGCTCTAGCTCTGGGGATGTGGCCAGCTCCTCGGCCACAGGTGGACAATGTGGAGGAGGGCCACTGTCACCTCAGGGAAGGAGAACAGGTGCTGGACGACCAAAGACCAAATAGCCACAGGAGATTTAGTTGCATGGCCGTTTAACTCGTCCACTGATTGCATCCACTGACCTTCCAGATGTCCCACTGATCTGTCGGTCTCTCTTGCGTGCAAATGGTATTTTTCAGCTCACCGTAAGCATTTTTTACACCATCCAGGGTCCCCAGGTCCTTAGAGCAGCTTGGAGCAGCTCAGTCTGCAGGGCCCACAGTCATGTTTGTTCTTCTGCCAAGCACAGGAAGATGTTTACTGTCTCCTTAGAGAACTTGCAGAGGTCTCTGAGTGTACCCAGAGACACAGCAGGAGTTCAGAGTGTTAGATCCTGTTCCAGGAAGGAAGGAAGCTTCATCCATTCAAACAGCAAAGATAAATATGCAGGACTCGATCCCTGTTTACCCCGTCTGGGGCCTGGGTTTATAAATTACAACACAGAAGGGTTTGCACAAGTTTTGTGTAGCAAGGTTTTCCTCACTACTGAAAAATGTCAGTTTAAACATGACAGCTCTGATGATGGGCCCAGTAATTCTGGAAACAGGAAATAGAACAGATTTTCTAGATCTGCAGTGCACCTGCCTTCACCAGGCCTGACCACTCATGTGACAGACACTCAGGATCAAGAAAACTCAAGCACATTCCTAAGACGATGGCAGATCAAAAAAAGAAAGCACGAAAAAGCATTTAGACACATTTACTTTTTTTCCCTCTCATAGATTGGACCTTTCTTGAAGACCATGAAGACACCTAGTAGCAGAGTGTTTAAAACACTCAGCGGTTAACCTCAAGGTGAGCATTTCTAACCCACCAGCTACTGTGCTGCACTCTCCTCACTCAGTGATTTGCAAGCGTGGAGACCCCATGGAGCGGTTCGACTCTGTCCTGCAGGCTTGCCGTGAGTTGGAGTCAGCAGTTGGTTTCCATAGACCCTGTGCCACACGTGAGCCACTAGATACTGTGACGTTTGAGAAGAGTCATTTCAGTATATCAGGAGAGTAGCAATTGAGTGGTGGTGTTCTCACCACAGAGACCCAGCTTCTGTTTCTGGCTAAAGCACCTTCGGTGCAATCACTGGGCACCTGTCAGTGGAGGCTCAGATGTTGCTCCTCTGTCGCTGGACAAGCTTCAACAGAGCTTCCAGGCTAAGAGTGACTAGGAAGAAAGGCCTGGCAAACTGCATCTGAAAATCAACCCGTGGAAACCCTGTAAATTCCAGCAGTCTGATCTTAATGTACATGAGGTCAACACGAGGCCAGCTCAACACCAACTAGCAACAACTTCAATATTTTAGTGTCAGATCATTTCAATACGAGAATACAGAAGCCCGACTGTCCTGGTAGAACCATTGGTGGTCCTGGAAAGTCTGGACACACTCAACCTTACTTTTTAAAAGGCTTTACACTCCTTTTTAAAATACTTAAGGGCTATGTGCAGATTAATCTATTTAATCTACATTAGTCAGTTAAGAATAGATTCTTCTATGACACATTTCTTTTTCAGAGGCTAAAACATTTTAATACCCTAGAAGAGTGAAGTAATTCAAAACTCACCCACATTTTACCACATAGATCTTCCACCCAGGATTCCATCTGTGAAATTCAAATGTCCCTGGTGGGATCCCAATTAAATTCCACATTTACATTTTATTTGAGATTCTTTACGTATTCCACCTCTCTCGAGTCATCCTGAAGGTGCTTAATCCATGAGGCTTAGAAAGCTAAGCAGTACAAAATTCACCCCCGTGAGGGATCTGTGATAGTCTGGGGGTGCGGGGGAAAGACATGGGAAAAGCCTTGGACATTGGAAATATTCCAGTTAAACATACTCAGAGAAGCAGTAGGAATGGCTTAATGTGAAGAAGTCCCAGACTGAAGCTACTAGCAGTTTTTGTTATCTTTTTCTTTTTCTGGGTTTGGTTTTTGCCAAATTATCAGACTTGGTAATACTGACTCTGGATGTCTAGCTGTGGACCTCAATCTCGTTCTTACCATTAAAAGTAAAAATTGAGAACCTGGATAGTACTTTTCCTATGTTAGTGGAAAGAGCAACATGTAGCAATGAGATAAGATGCTGGCTGTACCATTTTACAATCCCATTTACAGTGTATGAGAGTTTCTGCCTCGCCAACATATATTGCTTGCTGCCCTACTAAATTTTGCCACTGCTACTGGGGTAAGATGGTATCTCCTTGTGGTTTGGTTTGCATCTCACTTACTGCCAGTGATTTTTGAGCATTTCTTCATGTGTCTGTTGGCCATCCGAATGTCTTCCTCTAAAAAGTCTTTTCCATGTCTTTTGCCCATTTTGTAATTGGATTATCAGTATTTTTTTTCAGGAGTATTCTATAAACATTTGTTATGAGACCTCTGTCAGAGATGGTATTGCCAAATGTTTGTTCCCAGGTGGTAGGCTTTCTTTTCACCCCATTGGGAAAAGTTTGATGAGCACGGCGATTTCATCTTTGGAAGGTCCCATTCATCAATGTTATCCCCTTCTGGTTGTGAGTTTTTGGCATAACTTGGGAGCATTATGCTGAGTGAACTAACCCAGTCTCATAAGGACAAATACTGCATAAGGCCATTCTTGTAAAAAATAGAAGGATAACTAGTAAAACATGTACAGGAACTCAGGGCAGGGAGAGCTGAGGATGGGTAGAGATGAAACCCAAGGGCTGCACAGTTTGGTGGGGGTTGGAGGGGAAGGGAATGGAAAGGATTAATTTTATAAAACAATGTATGAGAATGATTGTATAAAACATAATGTGAATGAACACTAGTGTGAAACACAGTGTATTTGAACTTTGTAAGCAAATCAATTAAAAAAGAAGCAGAAGTTGGCTTTCCACACCACCTTTGAGAAAGGAGCATTGGTGAGTTAAGCATTACACCACCACCTAAAAAGTCAGACGCAGCTGCAAGCGGAGCTCAATTGCCTTCCTGGGTGTCTGCCCGGAAGCTTGAATCGAATGGGTGCCGAAGATTGATGGGGCCTGGAGGTGTCTGGGATGAGGTCTGCGCCCACGCTGGGGCCGGCGGGTGCATTGTTTGCAGCTGGGACCCGAGGTGAAAGGCCTTGCACGACGCCTCTGGAGACTAACACAAAAACCTCGGGCTTAAATTAGATAATACAGGATTTCTGACAACCTCCAGCCATGCGTCTCTCTGCCTTGCTGGCCATGGCATCCAAAGTTAATCTGCCTCCCAACTACCAATATGGAATGAGCCACCAGGGCTCCTTGGCAGACAAGAAGAATCCTCCAGGGACCAGGCGGCGTCGGGTGGCCGTAGAACCTATCTCTGATGACGACTGGCATCTGTTCTGTGGGGACAGGGTGCAAGTCCTAGAAGGGAAGGATTCTGGAAAGCAGGGCAAAGTGGTTCAAGTTATCCGGCAGAGAAATTGGGTTGTTGTAGAGGGGCTAAACACACATTACCGCTACATTGGCAAGACTGAGGATTACCGAGGAACCATGATTCCTAGTGAAGCCCCTCTGCTTCACCGCCAGGTCACGCTTGTGGATCCTGTGGACAGGAAACCAACTGAGATAGAATGGAGGTTCACTGAGGCAGGAGAGCGAGTACGAGTCTCCACAAGATCAGGAAGAATTATCCCCAAACCTGAATTTCCCAGAACGGATGGCATCGTCCCTGAAACATGGACTGATGGCCCCAAAGACACCTCAGTGGAAGATGCTCTAGAAAGAACCTATGTGCCCCGTCTAAAGACACTGGAGGAGGTGAGGAGGCAATGGGGATCCAGGAGACCCGGAAACACAAGAAGGTCTATTGGTATTGAGTCTGGGGACAGCGCTTCTCCCCTACTTCTCTGTCTTAGCCTTGGAGGCTGGGGCCACCTTTTTCACATCCCAATAAAGAGCCATAAATACTCC